CACACACCAACAAATCACCACTCCCCCCACCCCCCCCCCCCCCCCCCCCCCCCCCCCCCCCCCCCCCCGGGGGGGGGGGCGCCCCCCCCCCGGACTGATTGCCTCCAAACATCGAAGGGCTCGGCTCATTATACCCAAAGCTTCAACTGTTGATATTTCCTCGAAAGATCAGAGTAGTTTCACAAAATCTTTAAAAACTTTGGATCTTTCAGTCATTTCTGTGCAGAAATTCGAATGAAACACCAATTGTTGTAAACTGTTACAATATTCTTTTATTTCAGAATTGCTGCCTGTTCACGAAGAAAGGAAAAGGCGGATTGTCGCAAAGAGCTCCTTGTAAAAAAGAAATCAAAACACGCAAGTTATATAGTTTTCTGATCAGAAATCTTTTGGCACATCTTGTTTGAGCATGAAGTTTAAATTTTTGTCTAATTTTGTTGTAGTACGAACTGTCTGATTTACTATTACTCGACGTTCTTCCATTAGCGGTTGGCATTGAAGCAATTGACCATGAAATGATATGTATTCTCCAAAGAAATACAACAATACCAACGAAACGTCAATATTGTTCATTTACAAATGCATATGCTAACCAAAAAACAGCTATTATAAAAATATTTGAAGGTCAACATCGTCTAACAGAATACAACGTAAGTGTTTTTATTTTTTAAAATCTTTCTTTTGTGTGCTCACAATTTGACTTTTCGTACCACTAGATATATCTCGGTGAATTTTCATTAGAAAATTTACCTGAAAATTTTGCATCAAAAACATTAAAAATAACAATAACAATGGATTTTGATTGCAATGGGATATTAACAGTTGGAGCAGAAGAATCATTATCGGGTAGAAAAAATTCAATTACACTCAACAAAAGTAATAAAATTGATATCATTTTTTTCTTTCTCTCTCTGTCTATAAGTTCATCACTTTTGCAGATAAGACTCGTTTATCAAAAGAACAGATAGAACAGCATGTACAATTCGTTAATGGACTATCTGATAGTTTTCATGGTAAGTTTATATTATTTTTAAGTATTTTGAATATATTCAATATAAACACAATTCATTTATTTTTGTTCAGCAATCAATGATCTAACACAGATATTTATGGTAAGCGCAATAACTCAGTTGTTGGGTTAGCCAAAATTATATAGTTATATAAATTTCTAATCAGAAGTCTTCTGTACACTGTAAAAAAGAAACTATGTTGTTAGGCGTGCAAATTTGCTAAACGTTCACTCGAACAGAGCCACCAGATAGTCCGCATTTTGCGGACAAATTTCGCTTTCTGTAGTTTTTCGCAAAGTGTTCAGAGTCCGCAGTTTGTCCGCTTTTCGAGGATTTTTTGTTTTTTGTCCTTTTTCCTGCCACGAGGATTTTCACATTTTCTCATTAAAAAACTTGACTGAATGGCCTGTCAAAACAATGCTTTTGCAACTTTTAAAAAACAGATGAACACTGTTTTGAGAACGAAATTAGAAATTTGTTCTGGAAGTGAGCGCTAACAGGAAAACGTTAGCTTGTCTTAAGTGATGCTGAAAGGGAGTATGAAAAATAGTGAAATACTAAATCTTCAAGGAAGCCAACTTGGTCAGAAAATCTTAATCATTAAGCACTGTCGTAGACGGGAAAGTGTCGAATTAAATTTTATCCTGCCATACATAATTCTTGAAATTTATGACGGTTGATCAAAAACGCGCATCTACAAAACATCAATATCGATTCGAATTGGAATTTAAATGATGTTTGTACTTCTTTTCCGTTTCTTAAGTGGAACCGCTATAAAGCGCTAGAAAGTTTTTTTTTGATGCGCTTCGCATTTAGTGAAAACTGAACTAATACGATGAAAAATGCGTTTCAGCTTTTTTTCCGCATAAAAATTCTGCTTTTCGACCTTTTATTCCGGTTTTCTGACCTAAGTATCTGGCAACTCTGCACTCGACATCGAAAAGTATGTACCTTCTCTAGATCGTCAGTCTCATAGTGTGTAAAGAGCATACGTTATCTACCACACTAGATCCGATGGCAATGTTTATCTTGCCAAAAGAATCCAAAATCGGGTAAAAACCGCGTTTTATCAAAAATGAGATTTCTAGGAAACTTTCGTTCCAATTCGATAACATAATCATCTTAAATGAACTGAAATAGCTATATTCTGAAGCTTCCAACTCGTTCTGATGTTTTTCCAGTGAAGTCGGAAATTTTTAATATTAAGTGAAAACAGCCTGAAAACAACCTGATTTTTGATAAAACGCGGTTTTCGGCCGATTTTTGAATTCTTTTGGCAAGATAAACATTGCCATCAGATCTAGTGTGGTAGATAATGTACGCTCCATCTGATTTCAAGGCGATCTGGAGCCACAAGATTCCAGTCCTACGGTACCGATGAAATTGGAGACCGCGCCAGAACCACTGGAAATCAAGGTCTCGCTTGACTCCCATTTTGAACAGGACACTTTGAGTAATCTGTCCTTGAAGAAAAGCGAAAGTATTTGTAGTTGAAGTTTTTGAGCTATGAGCTGGTTTTACGACGGTCTCCTCGCAAATCCACTTTAGAAAGTTTTTTCGAATTATTATTGGTTACCAAAATGTGTTTCAAAGTCTCTTCACTGGACTAGTGAAAATCCGACCTCTCTATCATATGAGTATTACTAAAATACGCTAACACCCACTAACACCCAAACAAGCACCCAAAATAATATGGCAGAGTAATCGCCATCCTTTTGTGATTCTGTTAGATCACTTTTGAATCCAAAAGAAATCTCACGCTCACAGAAAAACAGCTTTCTCTGTAAGTTATATAGTAGATTTTTTCATTCAGAAAAAAGCTTTGTGTAATAAATTTAGATGCTTTAGAAAGTCAAAATCTACTAAAAATCTACTATACACAGGGAGAAAGCTGTTTTTTGTGAGAGTGAGGGTGAGATTTCCTTTGGATTGAAAAGTGATCTAGTAGGATCACAAAAAGATGGCGATTACTCTGCCATATTATTTTGGGTGTTTGCGCCACTTTGTTTGGGTATTAGTGGGTGTTAGTCGATGTTAGTGGGTATTAGTGGATGTTATTGAGTGTTCCTAACGAAAAAGTCCTAAAGAATCATCTTTGAAATAAACTTTTTCGGTATTAGTTTGATGTTACCTAATTCACAAAGAACAGGTCTATCTCGGACTTTAATTTGGGGGTGTTAGTGGATGTTAGCATATTTTAGTAATACCCCTATCATATTCCATTCTCGAGTTATTCAAAAAATAGTCAAGGGCATGGTATTTTGAAACGGATAGTAGGTGCGTTTAAAAAAGATTTCTTATTTTCCGTTTTTCTTCCGAGCGACTGCATCAAATGAAAAAATAATTTCGGAATCATGATCATCATCTTCGAAAGTATATATGCTGTCATTTCAAGCGAAAACGAACAAAAAAAAAAGTGAAAAAGAAACTATTGTCATATGGTAGATTTGAACAATCAATTGATCAATCTGAGGCATTTCCAGCATAGATAGTTTAGATAAGTAGACTATATACGGTTGCGTAGTTTGTGCGTAGGAAACAAAGTTCACAAAGAAAGTGGGTGTTTCATACGTACAAAGTTCCGATCCCGTGTATACTTCTAGAATTTTGGAGAGTGATTAACTGGAAGAGCAAGCCTTTTTCTGTCGAACGCTATCAAACTCAACCTTGTTAACTTTTTCTTTGAAAGCGAAATGAACACAACAATAGAAGAGACTAAATAACGTTAACAGCACTTAGACTAGTGAAACACCTTTGACTGATAAATATGCGCTTAGACCGGCTATTTGGGTTAACGTAGTACTTGTTATATAACTATGTGATCGGCTCTTTTTAATGAAGTGATTGGTTTATCTTTAGTTTTCCACTTTAGCTCCCCTTCCCACATTAGAGGTGATAATTAGCTAGCCAAGTCGAATAGCAATAGTTACATGTAAATACTTTTACTTGCGATCATTTTGTTAAACAAAAAAATTGATTTTTAGCACCCCTGTAGAAGAGCTCGCTCTCAAAAAAATTGCCATATCCCTGAAAGAAAATAGTAAATAAGAGGTGAGATTGAAATTTACGATTATTCCTGACTGGAATTGAACTACATACCCTAAACTTTTATCAAAACCTGACGTACGTTTGAGAAGATCAATTCTCTGTAATTCATGTTCCTCTGGCAAAGATCCATTGAAATAACCTTGCATGATTCTTAGTGGAAAACTTGTCTTTCAATGTTTTTATGATAACCCAGATATCTTTTTAACGTCACTTTCACTTTTCTGCTAAATGGATATCTCTGTGCCTCCATTTCCTGGATCATATTTGCTTCCCTGATTGTACCTAAGATCTTAGCGCTTATCAGGCTCTGCATGTCAAGAAAATGGTTATATTGTCGAACTATACAAGAAAACGTCAGCAATTAATTCAATAAAAAATAATGTTTTGTCTTTCAGCTTGATGGCAAAACGATGGATTTTCATTCATACAATTTTTCAACAAAGAATATTTTAGCTGGTAAATTCGATATTAGTTTTATCAATTAACTTGATGCAACTTACTGCTTCAATTCACTCTGTCGCTTGACAGAAATACTATCTATCAATAGACAGAGTTCGTCGACCGGCATTCCCTACTATATTCCTCTCCTACTACCTACAGATATGTTGTAATTCAGATTGAATTTTAGCTATCATATATTCTACTAGCGGCTTTAAGATGCAGACAATGATATTGGATGGAGTTTGTCCAGTAGCATCCTCTACCATAATCCTCACTAAAAATCTAAGACTAGACAGCGCAATATGCACTTGTTTAGAAAAGAGTAGATTCAGATTCAAACGTGTAGAATTATTGCAATAGCAGACCTCCAACCAAAGCCAAATTCATAAATCTGTACATCTCCCTCTTGCTACCATTTTATGATGGGTAGACAATTTTATTCTATAACTTCTTCCTTTCAGTCAAGTTAATATATATTTGAAGTTACTTTACCTAGATTCGAATGTGCCATTACTTGTTCAACTAAAAGAAACACCAATATCCACTGATTTAGTTGATAGTATATTTGAACTTCAAAATCAAGTATAAAATTCATAATACTTATTTTTGGATTTTAATACAATTCTAACGTTGTGTCTTTAGGATGGTGCATTTTCATTTTCCAAAAGTCTCGAAGAATTATTTAACAATGTGAATTTTGAAAAAGTTCAACAGAATTTAATTGAACAAGGATCCAATTCATTAGGTATGCCGTAACAGAAAAGTTTCCTATTTCTCACAGACAAACTATACTTTTATGTATGTTTAACTTTAGCTAAGAAAACACAATATGAAATAAATAATTTAATTTGTACAGCAATTATTTTATTTTATTTCTTATATAAAAGCACATTAGCTTCATCATTAACATTTCCACTTGATATACATTCGATTAGAAATTTAATTGAAAATATCAAAGAACAATTGCAAAATGAAGAGGTAAGAAAATGATGTGTTATTAGGTATCTATTGTTTGTTTCTCATTTGAAGATTCACGATTCAGCAATGGAATCATATATAAAAAGATGTCAAACGGCTGTCGATTATGTAGTGAAAATGCGTGATATCCATTCAGTGTATTGCACACAATTAGAATTAAGTTCATCCTGGGAATTATATATTCAACAAACATTACTTGGTCTTTGATTTTGATATTAAAAAAACTTATAAGGTGTTCTTACTTTTAAGCAAGACTTATTACACTATGTTTTACTTGGACTTTTCTTCAAGAATATGACGTAATCATAATTCTTATGATGAAGAATCTCTAATTACAACTAACAAATTATTTTAGTAAAGAGCGTGGCTGAAAAGGCAGAAGAAAACAAAGCAGAACATTTTTCTAATCTTTCTCGAGATCTTTATCTGAAGAATGATAAAAGGTTCTTTAGTCCAAGAACACTGGAAAGCACACAAGTTGTTACAAGCAACAAACGGAAATCAACGTGATCATCCAACAACAAAATAAACTTCTCTTTGTCCTCTTACTACTCTCGTATAAGTTGTAAACAGCATACAGTATCTACCATAAGTATTCATCAGATGCAGAAAAAAATAAAACACTTTTAACTTTTTTCGATTTCCCACACACTATCAGTATTTCCATCTTGTAGTTGATATTTCGTACTATGTTGAAGACTTTTCGAAATACAAGAGCTACACGTTGGAAGAAGCAGTATTCAGAGATACTAAAACCCTGATGTTAAACCTAAGTTTTATTCAACATTTTGACACTCGGTAGGAAAAACGTTTTCACATGTCCTGGGAAAATAAATTCAACTTTATAGCCCGTTAAAACTTGGATAGCCCGTTAAAAGCTACGTCGCTTTTCAAAAAAAAGGAGAACACAAACAGACATACCGAAAAAAACACTAGTGGTAACATCAAGTCGATTGCACAACCTCAATCGTTATATAGATTATAGATACAGATCAGTGGATTTAGTTTTGCAGTTTACTGCAAAGCTGTGTACGAATCTTTATCCGTACAAAATTGCTGTTGTGTTTTTCGATAGTTTTAATTTAGAATACTATAATGGAATATTTTTCCGCTTGTATTCTGACAAAATAAAGCTTATATCAAAGGAGAAAATAGTACAATTTGATTGGAGATATTCAACAAGAAAAAAGATAAATTAGTTTCTCCTCCTCTTTAACTATTTAAAACCCACTGTTTCTCATCAATATGCAAGGGAATATCAGTGCTTTTACATAATGTATTTGTTTAACAGAATAATCTTTACAACCAAATGGTTTGAAAAAATCCGGGATGGTCATTCAGCATGTGTTGACGTGGCTCTTATATAGTGACTTTTAAGTAGCTATTGCCACCCATTAAGGGTGTCGACTAGCGCTATTGCCAGCTGCATGCATAGTACTTACTTAGAAGGTGTCAGTTCGACCAATTATCACTTTCTAGCCTACTGCTATATTAGAAGATGTCATTTATAGCTCTATTCACAGTATTGTTGAGGAACATGTCGATAGCTCTAATTGACACCCTTAGAGGGTGGCAATAGCATCTTGGTGACACATCTGGAGATGGCAACAGCCGTTCCATTTTATTAGTTACATGCAGCACGCACGCGCCTTTAATTAATACCTGATGTTTTTGAACTTCGAATTGACAGACCAGTCAGCTGAACCAGTAATGTTAATAATTAATTAGCATCCAGCCACTTTTTGAATAACTTTTGATAGGAATGAGATAGAGACCTGCGATTTTCGTCTTCAATAGCCAAGACTTGAGCAGAACTTTCTACAAGCAGAAGCAACTTTTGGAGAAATTCCAGAGATCGGGTTTCTAGAGGATCTCTGGAAAACCAGCTCCGTTCTCAGAAAACTAACATACAATGTTAGTAATTTTTTTGCATGCGTAGATAGTCCGGACGTTACTCTACAAAATTATGCAAGTCCCGGCTCTCCAGCTGTCGTCGTTCGGGCAGGGCTCGCTTTCCCCGAACACGTGTCTATCTCCGAGCAGACATCTCTGGGAATCTCAAAATGCCATGGACCATAGGTAATCGACTACGCTGAGCATAGTAGCAACATTTGTTTTTGTGTAGAAATGAATATAACTTCGCCAGAGGCATTGTTGTGAAAAACCGGTT